CAAAATCCTAACACTGACGTACAAAGCTGTCCACCATACTGCCCCGAACTACATCACTGACCTAATATCCAAGTACCACCCAACACGCACACTCCGCTCCTCACAAGACCTCCTTCTCTCTAGTTCCCTGGTCTCCTCCTCCCATGCCCGCCTCCAGGACTTCTCCAGGGTGTCACCCATCCTCTGGAACTCCCTGCCCCAACCCATCAGATTATCACCTACTCTCCTCTCCTTTAGGCGCACCCTGAAAACCCATCTCTTCAGGGAAGCCTACCCCACCCCCTGCTAACTTGCCGACCTCCTCCACTCTTCCTACCACTCCATCCCCCACAGCTATCTCCTCCTGTGCCACCATCCCCTCCCTCCTAGATTGTAAGCTCGAAAGAGCAGGGCCCTCGATCCCCTCATGTTTTGCATTGTATTGGTATTGTTCTGTCACATGTTCTGTCCCCCTTTGTAATGTACAGCGTGGAGCGAACCATTGGCGCTTTATAAATACTGTATAATAATAATAATAATAATAATCAGTGCTCTGCTTCTACTTTCACTATACAGTCACAGACCTGTCAGTGTTAGGGCTCATGTACACTGTAACTGCTAAACTGACGTTTAGGAGCAGTTGAGTGTTTTTTTTCCAGCAGCCCCTGAACTCTCCTTTGTTTTCCTATGTGTCCACAGTGTAGCCATTTACTGGCATTTTCTTGAAAGCTCAAAATTGCGTTCAGGCGTAGTGTTTACTGGCGTTTCACACTCGTGTTAACTCGTTTATGCGTGTTTGCATTTAGACGTGTTTATTGGCCGGTCCATATCCAGGGCACAATTCACTAAGCGATATCTTAGGGCATCTAAGTATGCAGTAGGATATCGCATAGCATTTTTTAAATAAAACAATTTGAATCCACTAAAACAGGCTACTAAAATACTTTACTTTATCAAGTCATGCAGTATTTTTGTAGTGAAAAACATGCATTAATGTTTCAGCTGTTAGCAGGGTGCCCACTGACAGCTGAATGTAAAAAAAAAAGAATTGCCAGCAATGAAAAAATAATTTAAAAATGGCCTGCGGTCCTCCCATCCATACCAAGCCCTTCGGGTCTGGTATGGATTTTGAGGGGAAGCCAAATGTCAAAATTTAAAAAAAAAATGGCTTGGGGGTCCCCCCCCAAAATCCATACCAGACCCTTATCAAAGCATGCAGCCCGGCAGGTCAGGAAAGGGAGGAGGGGTGAGCGAGTGCCTCCTCCCCCTCCTGAACCATACCAGGCCACATGCCCTCAACATGGGGGAGTGCTTTGGAGCTCCTCCCCCAAAGCACCTTGTCCCCAGATTGATGGGGACCAGGGTCTCTTCCCCACAACCCTAAGCTGTGGTTGTGGGGGCCTGCAGGCTAGGGACTCCCAGATATGCCCCCCTTTAGCAAGGGGGCTCCCAGATATGCCCCCCTCCCCCTATGTGAATGAGTATGGGGTACATGGTACCGCTACCCATTCACAAAAAGCTGTAGTGTGAAAAAAGACAGGAGCCATTCTTTGACAAGTCCTTTATTAAAAGAAGGAAGATAAAATTATGTCCCCAAAGTAGATCCAACATCTATCGTGATGCCCGCCCGCCGCCCCTCCGAAAAAAAAAAAAAAAGCCTACGCTCCCATCCAAGCAAGTCTTATCCAAATGTGAGATTTGTACAGCTCTGCCACACAGCAGAGCTCTGTCTAGCCCTGTCTGAGTAAGGGCTCATGTACACGGGGCATCTGAAAAACTCTTCTGATCGCTGGAAACTGACTGCTAGAAAATGTGGGTTAAAAATATCCCCTCAAAATCCATACCAGAACCGAAGGGCTTAGTATGGATGGATGGGGGGACCCCACACACCATTTTTTTTTTTTTTTTAATTGCCGGCAATTCTTTATTTTACATGCAGCTGTCAGTGGGGAATCCCTCTGACAGCTGAAACATCAACGCATGCTATTTACTACTAAAATTCCGCATGACTTGATAAAATAACTCCTGCGGTATTTTAGTAGCCTTTTTTTAGTGAATTTACTATTTTCAGTGCATTCTGTGCATTTGGGAGGATTTCCTGAGGTTATCTTTTAAAAACGCGGTAGGTAAACGCAGCTAAACTGATGTTTTTAACCTACGTTTTCTAGCAGTCAGGTTCCATTGGTCAGAAGAGTTTTCAATCTCCCTGTGTACATGAGCCCTTGCTCATACAGGGCTAGACAGAGCTCTGCTGTTTGGCAGAGCTGTAAAAATCTCACATTTGGATAGCCCAATATACAAATCCTTTGTCAGGTAAAACAGATCCCAAATATGTCTTTTATTTGTGTCGTTATGGAGGTCTATGCCTGTTTATCTTTAACCATTTGACGCCCGGCCTATGGGCAAATGGCATCCGCAAAAATGTTTTAGCTTTCCGGGAGGCCGCCATATGGCGCGATCTGTCACCGGCCGTGTACCTCGGACACGGCCGATGACAGATCTGAGTACCGGCCCCCGTTGCCGGTACCATGTGACCTGCTGTGACCAATCACAGCAGGTCACATGACAGTTGTATACAATAGATGGCTTCATTCATGCCATCCATTGTATACTAGTGCCTAGCTGTGAATGGTCACAGCGATCACATGCACATGTCATGTGATTAGCTGTGGCCAAATCACAGCTAAGCACGAAAAAAAAAAAAAAATCCCTGAATGAATCGATGTCATTCAGGTAAATGCTTGCTTATAGCAAAGTAATTCTTTGCAATAAGCAAATTGTGTAAAAAAAAAAAAAAAAAAAAAACTGATCACTTCCCCAAAGTAGTACAATGTTACTATGGTAACATTGTACTACTTTGGACATAGTAAAATATGAAAACAAAATCTTAAAAAAAAGAAAAAAAATTTAATAAAAATTTTAAATTAAAAAAAATATATATTTTTTTTTCACACTGTCACCAGTCAGTGTCCCTGATCACTGCCATGCCAGTTATATGATGATGCTGTACTGCACTGGTGACAGTATGTAAAAAAAAAAAATAGTGAAAAAATATTTTTTTTAATTTTTTTCATTTTCCGAAAAATTATGACAAAAAAAATACAACTTCAAAAAACTCGCCATGCCTCTTATGAAGTACATCGGACTGTCTACTTTGCAAAAAGTGGTCATTTGGGGGATAGCTGTACTATTCTGACATTTGGGGGATATCTGTGGACCTATTCCAGAAAAATTAGATTGGCTGTCAGTACTTCAGGACTGATCAATATTCAGATCTATACTATAGTTTGTGAACTCTATAACTTTCCTACAAACTAAATAATACATCCTAATTTGGGTTATTTTCACCAAAGACATGTAGCAGAATACATCTCGGCCTAAATTTATGAAGAACAATTATTTATTTGTAAACTTTTATAACAGAAACAAAGAAAAACGTGTTTTTTTTTCAAAATTTTCGGTCTTTTTTTCTTAATTTACCAAAAAATAAAAACCCCGGCGGTGATTAAATACCACCAAAAGAAAGCTCTAGTTGTGTGAAGAAAATGATAAAATTTTAGTTTGGGTACAATGTTGTATGACCGCGCAATTGTCATTCAAGGTGTGAGAGCGCAGAAAACTGGCCTGGGCAGGAAGGGGGAAAATTGCCCGGTATTGAAACGGTTAAAGAAGCCCCTCCCTTTTTCTTATGAAGCCGCCACTATTAATGAAATTAGAATTAAAAAATACATCTAATTATTATTGCCTACCCCATTTCTTTCAGTCTCCCCTTATCCTAGTGACCCGATTTACCTCCTTATTGCTATTGGTTGGCGGCTTCTTCTGCGTTTTCTCTGTAAGCCCACTGATGACATCAGCACCAGATCTCATACAGCGATAGCAGTCAACTCTGGAAAGTGGAGGGAACCTTTTTCTCCAGTTTCTCTCACACCAGATCTCTATGGAAGGCTCTGGTGATGTAGCTGCCCAGGAAACAGCTGGAAAGCACTGGCCACATCACAAGTGCCTAAGCAAAACACAGTTCAATTAAATTAAAAAAAAAAAGTGTGGCATGTATTTATACACATATAGCACATTTATGTGTGTTTTGGGTGAAGTGCTGAATTTATTGGTTAAGACCAGGGGTGGACTGACAACTCATGGGGCCCCCGGGCAATAGGGGATCATGGGGCCCCTGCGTCCTTGCCCAAACTCAAAAAAAGCCTATGAAAAAGGTACCAGGGGCATCTCATGGGGCCCCCTACTGACCCCGGGCCCTCGGGCAGTGCCCGAGTTTCCAAATGTTCAGTCCGCCCCTGGTTAAGACATTCAAACTCACAGGTTTTGTTCATATTTATTTATTTTGTTTCAAATTCACCTGCTTGGAGAGAAATATATTGGCTAGGGAAGATGATCTCTCTTGAAAATGAGTTCCCTTGCTGTCATGTTGATGTTTTTGGCTTTTGATGGATATGGATTTTCATTAGCTGGTATCTACAGGTCTGTGATTCAGAAGTATGAAGACAAACACACCCAGACAACTGTCCTTTTCAAGAGGTCACCGGTGGCAGCCTATAATATTTCTCTGATGGCAGGTGTACTTAAAGTGCACCTGTCATGCAAGAAGTATGAAAGTTTTACGTGACCTGCTTCTTTAAATCACTAGTTTCTGAATTCTTTATTTTTATATATGTTTAAGGTCAGTGACTCAGCTTTAAAGCCAAAGCATCAACCTGAAAGCCAGGGAACTAACCGTCTCAAAGGGAGAGGTCAGTAAAGGCAGCCTACATATTTCTCTTATGAAAGGTCACTCTAAAGCAGGTTCTAGCTAATGAGGAGGTGAAATGGAACCTAGTTAAGTTTACTGCGTGCCTTTCTGTAACATTTTATAAGATCTATGGTAAATTTTATGGTACAAAGATTTTATATGTGAATAAATACCTTTTTGTGTTCTTTTGTATAATTTGTTTTTTTTTTTTCATACTAACAGCTGTAAATTTGGCAAGAGGAACTGGAAACTTTGGATAGGAGTAAAGAAAAGAATGGGGACTCCTGGATCTGGAAGGAAACGGAACCCAAACTAAAGACAGATTTTCTGCTGAAGATGAAGCCCTGAGTCATATTGCAAGAGAGGTTGGTTTTATTTCTGATACTTCGAAACTCCAATATTTTCTTTTCTTTGTTTTCAGTATCATTCCATATTGTCTGTATCTTACAGTGCAACTCCAGCCAACACTTTTCGTTTGGTAAGGGATAGAGTGGGAAAGCACTAAAACCTTTGTCATTTTTTTTTTCTTTTTTTGTGTCCCTATTTCTATAGGACAATTGGGATGTAACAGGAAATATCTCGAGCAGCAAAAATCACAAACACATTTTTAGTAACATAAGAAATGGGTGAGACTTCTGACAGTGTTTTTAATGCTCTCTGTGTTTTCCTGTACCAGTGATGACTGCATCCCCTATTTTTTTTTTTTTTTTTTTTTTTTTAAATTTGTATTTTAATGGGTTTTGCAAGGAGAGAAAGCAAAAAAAAAATTTCCACAGTTGAGTCAAGGACAGGCATAAACATCGAAGGGAAAAATATTAAAAGATAAGTTTTTAAGGTGGAAATGTAACATGTTCCCATAGCCGCAGCAGCACCTGCCACAACCCCCCCCCCCTCCCTCTGACAGTATAACTTCTCCCCATACTATTAGAAAACAGCGTTGCCCACACGGCCACGTCACTCTGTGAATGAATGCCTACATGTCCCGGCAGCCTTAGCGGCTGTCGGCCTATGGTTTTTATTGAACCACCACAGTGCTGTGGAACGCCATGGTAGTTCATTCAAGCTTCCTGTTAGAATATCTGCTTGACCGTACGGCTAGCAGATATTCTGACAGATCTGCAGGAGATCTGAATATGGCATCAGTGATCTACTGATCGCTGGTGCAATGCTTTACAGGCTCCTTTGGACAAAAATAATAAATGAACATTTTTTTTTTTACCTGCAAAAAAATGGGCATTTATTATTTTTGTCCAAAAGGTGAACTTATCCTTGAACCCTTACATACTTTACCAAAACCTTGTGCATGTCTAGCTTGGATGTGCAGGTGAGTCTGTATAGCTGCTGTGGCTCTTTTGATTAACACAGGATACCTGCACGCAGCTCCACTTTGCTCCAGGGACATAAAAAACTCTTCGTGCTGTACAGGCCTTTGCACCCATGTGAATGAGCCCTTAAATATTATTATTATTATTATTATACAGTATTTATAAAGCGCCAATAGTTCGCTCAGTGCTGTACATTACAAAGGGGGACAGAACATGTGACAGAACAATACCAATACAATGCAAAACATGAGGGGATCGAGGGCCCTGCTCCTTGGAGCTTACAATCTAGGAGGGAGGGGATGGTGGCACAGGAGGAGAAAGCTGTGGGGGATGGAGTGGTAGGAAGAGTGGAGGAGGTCGGCAAGTTAGCAGGGGGTGGGGTAGGCTTCCCTGAAGAGGTGGGTTTTCAGGGTGCGGCTAAAGGAAAGGAGAGTAGGTGATAATCTGATGGGTTGGGGCAGGGAGTTCCAGAGGATGGGTGACACCCTGGAGAAGTCCTGGAGGCGGGCATGGGAGGAGGAGACCAGGGAACTAGAGAGAAGGAGGTCTTGTGAGGAGCGGAGTGTGCGTGTTGGGCGGTACTTTGGATATTAGGTCGGTGATGTAGTTCGGGGCAGTATGGTGGACAGCTTTGTACGACAGTGTTAGGATTTTGAATTTGATCCGTTGTGCAATCGGAAGCCAGTGGAGGGAATACTGAAGAAAACAAATTTAATTCTACACTAGCCTTCTTCCCGTACTATGACATGACTATTTTAAAGTGTGCTTGTGCTTAGCTTATTCAGGGCAAAGCATCAAGTTAAAGTAGAACTGAATGCATTTTACAGACTGTGAACAGAGCGGCTGTTATTGCAGAAGAGACATTTCTCTTCTGCAACAACATATACTGCCTCCCTGCTTGCAGTCTTCTGCAGCAGCTCCGCTTACATCTCTGGCATGGTCCTTGTGAGCCGGGATTGACTGACTTCTATGCAGGAGTTCTATCTTTTCGTGCCAGCCAGTGGAGATGCTCGAAGACCCAGTGCACCCAGGGAAAAGATGGCGGCGCTAGCGATGGACCCAGACCGTTAGAGAGGAGGTAAGTAAAGTGCCTTTAGTTCTGCATTAATGTTAATTGCAGTCTCCGTTGTCCCTTCTATTTGGTCTTTCCTGTTCCTACCATGTTAACACTGTTAGTGATCGACAAACAGCTGCTTGGACATCCAGCACTGAAACATGGTTGTAGAGAGAGGCCTCAGCCACAGTATGCTTTAATCAAACAAATGAAACCAGCGTTTAAATCTTCATGCAGACCAGGGAATTGAAAATGCCAAACGAAGAGGTGCTGCCCCTCTTGTCAGGGCTCCGAGTATGACCAGAGGTCTGTGAACTGACGCAGGGAAATGCAGGCTTCAGATATGTTATAAACAATATAATTTATTAATACTAACAATACATAAACGCAGTGCAATACTAAAACATAACACAGTGCAAACGAACCAAACCACCCACAGATAACAATACATACAATGCAAGCGTCGTCAGGCAAGCCGGGTCAATAACAATCGGGCAGGTAGGAACAGGAGGAGCAGGCAGAGAGTAGTCAGGTCACGAGCCGGGTACAGCAACTAACGGGCAGGTAGGTACAGGGGGTCAGGCAGAGAATGGTCGGGGTCACAAGCCAGGGATCAAACAGGAGAAGACAGCAGAGGTCTGGATCAGGCAGGGTCAGCAACAAGTCAGTCAGACAGGAACAGGAATGCAGGTAACAAGATACAGGGGCCCATGGAAAAAACACACACCAAGGCCCAGACTGCAGGTCTGGCCATCCCTTAAATACACCTGCAATCAGCCTCAGGTGTCTTGGCTGACTGCAGGGTTGAGTCTCTGATTGCTGAGAGCACCCGCTGGCCAGCCCTGGTACTGCAGCCCACAAGCAGGTGAGTCCCACCATTATTGGCAAGTCCATTCCTGACACCCTCAAAGACTGGGAATCTGAATACAGTATGCTTTAAACCCTATTCAGTTACAGGGGCTGACATTAAAGTGTACCTTTGCCCAAACTATGCACACTAAAGTATTTACATATTGTTTATACCGTTTTCCATTGAATTAGAATCATAGCAGCCTATCAGCTTTCTGCTGAAACACTGCGGGTTTTTCTACGCTGTTAAACACCAACTGAAACCTGATTTCAAGACCCATTTACACCAGCCCAGTTTGCTGCACTATATTTAGCGCATGCATGTTCATAGCACATTAAAAAGGAACTCCAGTCTCCACCCAAAAAATACTGTAGCTGCTGAATTTTAATATAAAAATATTTGCCTGGGGGTGTAGCCAAACAAGCAGAACGTACCTTTTTGTGTGAAGTTCCACTTTAATTTACGCATTAGCAGAGCCCAGCCATTTGAATAAGATCCCCAACACAGCACAATGAAAAAAAAAAAAATCATGTATACACTACAACATGGTATAGTGTATTGCCTGAATGGCACCACAGTGCACCAGCACATGTAATGTGCATTGTGGAACTGGAGTACAGTCCCATGTATAGGCCCTTTAGAGTCTTGAGCATCGTTTGAGATTGCATTGCCTCACTGTGGAGCTAAGGAGGTCAGGAATGGCTTGTTCTAAATCTCTCTGATTGATGTGGTATGTAAATACTTTAATGTCAATAGTATGGGCACAGGTGCACTTTTAGGTAAACCTGGTATTTTGCCCTGTTTACTTTTAAAACAGTTCACACTATGAACCGCATATGAATCTCAGGAGCTACATATGAATCTCTCAGGAACTGCATATGAATCTCTCAGGAACTGCATTTGAATCTCTCAGGAACTGCATATGAATCTCTCAGGAACTGCATATGAATCTCTCAGGAACTGCATTTGAATCTCTCAGGAACTGCATATGAATCTCTCAAGAAGCGCATATGAATCTCTCAGGAACTGCATATGAATCTCTCAAGAAGCGCATATGAATCTCTCAGGAACTGCATATGAATCTCTCAGGAACTGCATATGAATCTCTCAGGAACTGCATATGAATCTCTCAGGAACTGCATATGAATCTCTCAGGAACTGCATATGAATCTCTCAGGAATCGCATATAAATCTCTCAGGAATCGCATATGAGTCTCTCAGGAACCGCATATGAGTCTCTCAGGAAACTGCATATGAATCTCTCAGGAACTGCATATGAATCTCTCAGGAACTGCATATGAATCTCTCAGGAACTGCATATGAATCTCTCAGGAACTGCATATGAATCTCTCAAGAAGCGCATATGAATCTCTCAGGAACTGCATATGAATCTCTCAGGAACTGCATATGAATCTCTCAGGAACTGCATATGAATCTCTCAGGAACTGCATATGAATCTCTCAGGAACTGCATATGAATCTCTCAAGAAGCGCATATGAATCTCTCAGGAACTGCATATGAATCTCTCAGGAACTGCATATGAGTCTCTCAGGAATTGCATATGAGTCTCTCAGGAACTGCATATGAGTCTCTCAGGAATCGCATATAAATCTCTTAGGAATCGCATATGAGTCTCTCAGGAACTGCATATGAGTCTCTCAGGAACTGCATATGAGTCTCTCAGGAACTGCATATGAGTCTCTCAGGAACTGCATATGAGTCTCTCAGGAACTATATATGAGTCTCTCAGGAATCGCGTATGAATCTCTCAGGAACTGCATATGAATCTCTCAGGAAACCGCACCACATTCCTGTTCAAATCGCATGCTATTCAGTACAATGCGATTTGAGTCCTTTAATTTTGAATAGGCTTAAATCGCACCAGTCATGCATGCACCAATTTGGAACCACACTGTAACCAGATCGCAAGGTAGTTTTGCAACATGCGATACGGTGCCAAGAAACGCATTGCGTTTATGACCTGTGTTTGCGGTTTCGTTAAGATTGCAACAACACCTGCTGCAGATTGCAAGGGTAGTGTGATTTGAATCAGTGCGGGAAACGTGCGTGGAAGGTGGGTTTTCAGCACTGCATTGTAGTGTGAACCTAGGCTAAAAGGAAAGCAAGATATAGTTT